AATACGTTTAAAAATCACTAGAGAAAGATCTTTTTAATGGAAAATATGTTTTCTTTCTTTTTATCAAGTGACGTCTTCTCTTAATTAGGTATCACTGCTAAATACAAAAAAAAAAAATATGTTTCAACCGAAGGTATTTGTCTAATATAAAGATGAGAAGGATATCTTAATATCAGTAATGAAACTAAATAAATAAATTCAATATAAAAAAAACGAAAATCAAGGATAGCCTTTTTTATGATTGTGACACCAGGACGGACCAAAAAAAAAATATATATATAAATAAATATTCCCTCATCGGACCTAGCCACGAAGAAAACAAAGATAAACAGAGATGGGAGTATTGTGACTTGTTAGATGTGAAGAAATGTGTAACGACTATCCGAGAATATTTGACGTAGGCACAGTAGTAACCGTGACAAAGCGGTAGCGTCTGCGATTTTGAGGCGTCATCGAGGGTTCGCGCCCCGCCACGGTCTTAGGTTTGCAAGGGCATGCACTCGGGGTTACGATTACATCTGCCAAAACAAGTCCTTTGAAAGAAGGCAAACGTCCTAGCCCTTGGTAGAAAAGGGAGTTCGTGACGTAACACCGACCCATTCGGAGTTGTAGGCAAAGAAATGAGAAGTAACATACATTAAATGTTAAGAAAAAGTTTCATGGGTGAAGGATTACTTCTAGGAGGCCTTCCAATAGAATCTATTGTTCCTAACTTCTCGTGCGACTCAAGTTATCTCTAAACAAAGTTTAACGGATATGTTCTTAAAATAATAATCCTTCGGAGATGAAAAAGAGCCCATTGTAGTCGCCGTGGCTCAGTCGGTAGCGTCTCCGACTCTGAGGCGTCAGGTCGAGGGTTCGCGCCCCGTCACGGTCTGAGGTTAGCAAAGGCATGCACTCAGCGTAAGGATTACATCTGCCAAAACAAGTCCTTCGCAAGAAGGCAACCGTCCTAGCCCTTGGTTGATAAGGGAATCCGTGACGTAAAATCGGAAAGGAAAGATGAAAAAGAGCCCATTAGACAAAGCAAACCACCGGGGGCGGGGCAGAGCTCTCTTTTTAAATTGCAACTTTCCCCCACGTTTATGTGGGGTCGATGTTTGTCACTAGCCTCTTCCAGATGAGTGGATGATTTGTGCTCAGTTACACCAGGATGCCCTGCTTGATACCAACCCACTTTATTGATCCGGGTTGGGGACCAGCGCCGAGATGAGCTGTTTGTTCCAACTGTGACAGGATGAGAAACAGTACTATGGTAAATGCCACAATATATTCGTATACCGATAGCTCGGTGTGTACCACATAAGTGTGGAGTCAATGGTTAAACAGCATCTTGACAAATTCAAGCTTCAATTTAGAAGGAATAAAAATATCAATTCCTCCTCATCCCCCCCCCTTAAAAATCAATGTCTTCAAAGTACAAAATTTTATTTATCTTTGGCTTGCTTGCTTGCTTGCACCTTAAAGACATCCAAAATCAGGCCACACCATTTGAAAAGAAATCAACTGGAGAACACGCACCTCAAAACTATAAACTGGCAAAGCAGTGTAAAATAGTAAATCATTAAAGGGGTGTGTGGGGGCTGAGCCCCAAGTTACGAAAATACAGGTATGGCTACTGTTACCACGACGAATATATCTCGAGAGAGCATACAACCCAAAGACAATCTGAGGTGTGTGTGTGTGTGTGTTCACCAGTTGATCCGTACTTTTCTTAGCTTCTCATTCTGCATAAATCATCAAAACATCTTTTATCATTTTAATACCAGTATTTAAAAGATGACGTCATAAATAAATAAGGTAAATAACAAATGGTAAATGAGTCATAAAAATTTGGGCGTCATGATGCTTCTTCCTCTCTTTATATTAAAGATTAGGTCTCTCTCTCTCTCTCAAAATATCAAAACGAAGTTGCAATGTATTAAAGAAGTGGAACTTCTAATTACAGCAATTACTTTACTGCAAACGCATACACAATATTTTGACTCCCTAATATAAAGGGGGGTTTACACGGTCAAATGGTTCGTCGAACGCGGTTCGACAGACAAGTGTTTAAAGTGATGTTCGAACGTGTGAACGTGGTATTTGGTAGTCGAACACGTTTGTCGAACGTGTTCGACAACCAAATACCCCGTTCACACGTTCGAACATCACTTCAAACACTTGTCTGTCGAACCGCGTTCGACGAACCGTTTGACCGTGTAAACCCCCCTTTAGACTACTCCTTTCATTGGTTCTCTAATAAAGAGAGACGAACACAGAGTCATAGCACACACAGTAGCTTGTAATGTAGGCAATTAAAATTTAACATACATTTTTGAGAGAAAATACTATGAAAGATTTTTATTTCCCAGTCAATATATTTGACAGATCTCTCTATTTTTTTTTTAAACGATCTTGCCCAGTTTTCCCGTTGGCTAAGGAAGATCAAAATGTCTTGTAATTATTATCTTCCTTCTGCATAAGTAACTGAATTGAATTTGCTAATTCATGTATTTAT